AGGAATTTATACCAGCTGTAGAAAAAGTGGGAAGCCAAGCCTCTCCTCCCGGCTGCAGAGTGGGATGAACCTGCAGATCTGCTTTGTCAAAGACAGTGGCAGCCATAAGGACAGCGATGCTGAGGACAGTAAGACTGAAACCAGCTTGGACACCCCCCTATCTCCGATGAGCAAACAGAGTTCTTCCTATTCTGACAGAGACACTGGTGGGATGAACCTGCAGATCTGCTTTGTCAAAGACAGTGGCAGCCATAAGGACAGCGATGCTGAGGACAGTAAGACTGAAACCAGCTTGGACACCCCCCTATCTCCGATGAGCAAACAGAGTTCTTCCTATTCTGACAGAGACACTGCTGAAGAGGAATCCGAATCCTTGGATGACATGGACTTCCTCACAAGGCAAAAGAAATTGCAAGCAGAAGCCAAAATGGCCCTTACCATGGCCAAACCAATGGCCAAAATGCAAGTAGAAGTGGAAAAACAGAACAGGAAAAAGTCTCCTGTGGCTGACCTTCTGCCTCACATAAGTGAATGCTTGATGAAAAGAAGTTTGAAACCCACTGACCTGAGAGACATGACTATTGGGCAGCTACAAGTGATAGTCAATGATCTCTACTCCCAGAAAGAAAGCTTGAATGAAGACTTGGTCCAGCTGCTCCTCATCCGGGATGAGCTGCACACAGAGCAGGACGCCATGCTGGTGGACATCGAAGACTTGACCACACATGCTGAAAGTCAGCAGAAGCACATGGCAGAGAAAATGCCTGCAAAGTGAAAAGAAGCCACCCACCAGGGGTCAAGCTAGCATTTCTTTTGCTTCTGTGATTGTAAAAATGCTGTTATTGAAGATGGCGCAGAAACATCAGTGTTAGTCATCGATAATGTCTGAAGCTTAACGTCCAGTGATTGGCCTTTGCTTCTTAATTTATTTTAATTTTGTACTTGTGCCACTTAATATCAGGCATTTTAATAAACTATTGTTACAGAAAATGTACAGTACTTATACCATCCCAAATCATGGTTAACCCAAGAGGGTAGTTTTAACTTTATTCGTATTTGTTTGGAGGTTTTACGTTGGAGCCGTATTTTCCCATGGACTACTTTCATTCTTCACTGTAGTTTTAAAGAACTGTAAATGACGGTGCTATTCAAGTCAAAACATACATGCCTGCCTCGTAGTGAAGTTGTAGCTCTTCGTAATATGTATATTTTAATCAGTTTTCAACATTTTGTGATGTTGACTACCTGAAGTTCCTTTTTAGATGTGCTATTAACATTCTGTTGGATTCAGAGGGTTCCTTGAAAGTTTTATGTATAAATATGTAAAATAAAAATTAAAACTTTGTTTCAAAAAAAAAATAAAATAAAGTACCTAATGAATGACTGACACAGAGTAGGTGCTCACTGAATCTTAGTTTCTTTCACTTGCCTGCATAGATGTTGGATCCTGAGGACCGATAGTATACTATATACACCTATCAGTGTTGTTCAAAGTTTGTTCCTTTATCATGAAGAAGTCATACGACTTGCGTGAACTGCAACCTTAATTTAATGCACCAATAGTTACCTAGTCTTTTTGGGAATTAAAGGGTCTATCTGAAATATACAAGAATGAGATGAAATTTACTTAGATTTGATTTAATGGTTGCCAGGCTTAATCAAATCACAACTCTGCATAATTTTTTGTTTTCAATTGGAATTTTTTAAATGCTTATTCTTAGCAGTGCTTTAACATCAATTTCATGCTAAATGAATCATTATTAAATACTTATGAGGAAAACTATTTTTAAGCCATGTGCTCATTTTAAAATGTAACTAATTACTTTCTGTAGGTAATAAAAAATGCACTATATTAGTTATAACATACCATGATTGGTGGCATGCATGCTCTAAATAGGAATGCATATTTTAAAGGAAAATTGGACTAACATTGGCTAAAGTTCTTTTAAAACAGGGTGTATTGATACTTAGTGGAAAAAGAAGGATGGGTTTTTGTTTTCTGGGAATTGTGTCTAAAGTTGCACAATGATAGAGTTGTTTCTCCATTCTACAAAGTTCACAGACTTTTTAATAATTAGATAAGAGAATTTTCTGTCTTGTCTCCTGGTATTGTTTAGAACCCTTCAGTTTTATTGTTTTGAATGGGACTTGCTACTCTCTTGAGTTGACCTCATTTTAATTACGTATATCTCTTCATCTATGCTGTAAAACGAGGAGATATTGAGGGACCAGCAGGTGGCATCGTGGTTAGGCTACTGGACTCCCACATGGGCCACTGTAGCTCAAGTCCTAGATTTGGTGGCCTGAAAATCATGTTTCCACGAAATCCCAAGAAATGAATAGAGAAGAAGGGATTGTGTTGTAGCTATCCTCACTGGAGGATAATTTCTCACTTTCATTCTCTCTGTTGAGTACATGTACCCTATGGTAAAAACCTAAAAAAAAAAAAAAAAAAAAGAGGGTAATGCTGATCAATTAAAGGAAGCTTCTCTCCTCGCTAGAGTAAGCTTCATGAGGGCAGAGGGCATTTTTTTCCTCTTTTTTCATCACAATAGCTCTACATCCTACTATAGTGCCTCAGCTGAGTTGAGCTGCCAATCACAGGGACCTGCAATAACAGTAGTTTAAACAAAATAGACACTTAATTTTTTTTATTGTAAAAGAAGTCCAAAGTTAGTCCAATCAGTATATATATATATATATATGCCTTATAACATCATATCCTTATAATAACCTTGGGGGGGTGCTTTTTCACTTTCTCTCTTACTGTCTCTGTCTCTGTCTCTCTCTCCAGTGAGGGCATGAGCCCTAAAGCAAAAACCTATTTGTAAAAATTGCCCTTAAGGGGACCAAACGGTGGCACAGAAGTAAAACATAGTGCATAGTGCTCTCCATATGGGAAGGGTCCTGGTTTGTATTCAGAGACCTCCTGGGTATGCTGGGCACACATATGCATGTGATCTAGGGTTGGCTGAGGGTGGGGGTGCATCACACATCAAGACCCTGTTGAGGGAGGTTTCTTTCTCTGGAAGTAAATAAGCTTAACCAGTATCAGTAAGTTAGAAATGGAAGCTAGTCTCTCTTACAAGGTAACATAGCTTCACAATTTCTTTATCACTTTTCTCTGCCAATCAGAGAACCAGTTCTTTGCTAGTCATGTTTTTTTCTTCCCCCAATAACTTTGGTTGACACGAGGCTTTGTCTCTGTGGTATAGAGGTGATATAATCTCTCGTGTTGCCATTCTAAATTCCCCAGCAATAGTTTGATTGGTTCAGTGAGGGTCAGGTTACTAACTCTGGTACCATTTGCTGTTGCAAACAGTGGGGGCGGACTAGGACAACCCTGTCCTCCTGAGTGCATCCCTTTAGCTGAGCCACCGGTGTGAGCATGTGTGTGGGGGAGTGGGGGAGAGCAGGTACTGTTGAACATACATCCCTTTTCCCATTAATGTGCACTCCCATGTTTCTTGACCTCAAGTGCTTTTTCCCTTCCAGGTGGCAGATCAAAGACCTTCACTATTACTGGCTCCACTGGAAAAAATTTTTTTTAAAATTTGCTATAGGATGTGTGTACTCCCTGGAGAAAGACAGAGACAGAAAGAGAAAATGAGCAAGCATTCCCCCAGGGTGATGGCCATGCCACAATCCCTTCTCCATTCTCCTCTCGGGATTTCAGGCACATGTGCTTTGCATGTTTTTTTTTCTTTTGAGAGGTTTTTTCACTATAAGGCGCATGTACTCGCCAGACAGAGAGAGACATAGAGACAGAAAGCGAGAAATCACCCCCCAGGGAGGATGGTCACGCCGCAGTCCCTTCTCCTCCATTCTCCTCTCGGGATCTTGGGCACGCACACGCATCCTGTGTGAGTTTTAAGCCACTGGGTCCAGGACACGAACCGTGGTCGACTACGTGGGAGTCCAGCGACATAGCCATTACGCTAACTGCTCGTTCCCCTTTGCATGTTTTTCAAGCCACCAAATCTGGTACTTGAACTGTGCAGCTGGTCACGTGGGATCTAGTCTTCTTAACCATCATGTCACAGGCTGGGCCCTGCTTGCTCCAGTTCTTTTTTTGAGGTTTTTGCTATGGGGCGTGTGTGCTCACCAGGAAGACAGCGAGAGACAGAGAGACAGAAAGTGAGAAATCACCCCCCAGGGGGAATAATGGCCACACCACAATCCCTTTTCCTCCATTCTCCTCTCAGGATCTTGGGCATACATGCACAGGTGTCCAGCGTGAGTTTAAGCCACTTTGTCTGGGACTCGAACCATGGTCGACTACATGGGAGTCCAGCGACATAGCCATTATGCTAACTGCTAGTCTCCCTACTTGCTCCTTGTCTTGAACTATTTCTGTACCAACATTATTCTCATTGTTTTCTTCTCTAATTCAACTTACATTTCCCTAGTTGGAATGTTTTAGTGGGAAAGCAACGTAGTGATTAGAGTCCATAAGCCTTTGGGATCACATCACCCCATCTCTTATTTTCATCCCATCAGCCTGGGGCAGGAGCTCTTGCTCATAACAAGCAGTGAGAAGCACAAACACCAGTTAATCTACCTGAATTTGAAGCCAGCTTCCAATAGCACCGCAAGAGATTCCCCTGTGTATCCGTTTCTCTATCAGTGAAACTGGAAAATGACTTACCACATAAGATCTCCATGAGAATTCAAGGAACTAGCACGAGTAAAGAAATCAGACCAGTGCCTGCAAATTAATAAACACACATAAAATATTCGCAATTGAGGTATGCCAAGGGTAAATATCAAAACCATAGTTCAGATAGTGTTAAGTGTTAGATGCCGAATGAGAGTTAGGGCACTTGTGCTTGTCAGAGACACAGAGAGAGAGAGTGGAAAGGAAAAGGAAAGTGAGAAATCACCACAATCCCTTCTCCTCCATTCTCCTCCCAGGATCTTGGGCACATGAATACATGCACCTGGCATGATGTTCAAGCCACCAGGTCCAGGACTCTAACCATGGCTGGCCATGTGGGAGTCCAGCAATGTAACCACTGTGCCACCAGCTGACCTCGAAGTTGGAGTTCTTACTACATGGACTTCCACAGTGTGGAATCCAGGACACTTGATTCTGTTTGTTTGTTGACCAGCCTTTGTTTGAAGGAAGGTTTGATAAAGTGAAGAAGTTGGTGGCACTCAGTTGATGGTGTTTTTCCCTTCTATAATAGAAACCTTTCAGGTAAAAAATATAATAGTTTTCATTTAAAATACCTTTTCACTTTTGTCATATTATTTGTGATTGGGATCCATACTACAATGCAACTGTTTCCAGAGGCACATATACTAAATTTTATGATCCAATTAAAAATAAAGTTTGCACTGAAGTATTTGTTTCTCTGGAAAACTTTCAGGCATTTTACTAAGTGATCATCTTGTTAGTGCTTAAATTATTAGTAAGGGTAGCTCCATACATGTGGACATCAGATAAAATGAATGGATATAAATCCACAAATATTTGAATTTGGACTTATATATGTGTCCCATTTAGATCCAAATTAATTAGGCCTAAACATGGTGTTATTTCATATGCTGCAAAGTTGGATGAGCCTAGAAAATCTTCTTCTTTTTTTAAAAGTTATTTTATTTACATTTATTATTATTTTCCAATTTGATCAGAGAGAGGGAAGTTAAGAAAGCAAGCCACCAGGTCCAGGACTTGAACACTGGTTGGCCATGTGGGAGTCTAGTGCCTTCCACCACCACGCCACCTGCTGGCTCCAGCCTAGAAATTCTTTATTAACTACTGAATTAAAAAGACATAAAGTTGCAATAAGAGCAGATCTCAATTTTTTTTAATTCACACTTGCTGGAGAGAGACAGATAGATAGAGAGAAAGGGAAAAACGAGAGACCATTATCCTGGGGCATGGTCACACTGCAATCTCTTCTCCATTTCTCCCTCCTATTGGGATTCTGGTCACACACACAGGTGCCCAGTGTTTCTTCCTTTCTCTTTTTAAGAGATTTTTGTCCTAGGCCACGTGCTCACCAGAGTGAGATACACACACACACACACACACACACACACACACACACACACAGTGAGAGGGAAGGCAAGGAATCACTCCCCGTGGGGGGTGACCACACTGCAATCCCTTCTCCTCCATTTACCTCTTGGGATCTTGGGCACGCATGCACACATGCCCAGCATGATTTTCAGTCCACTGGGTGCAGGACTTGAACTGTGGTCAGCCATGTGGAAGTACTGTGACATAACTGCTATGCTATCTGTTCGTCCCATACCCTTTGTTTCTTAAGCTGTTGGGACTTGAACTACACTGTCACCTTTTGGGATCCAGGTGCCTTAACTGTCACACCTTAGTCTGGCCTAACTTCAATTATTAATATTACAAATAAGGACCTAACAGACGGTGTAATGGTTACGTTGCTGGACTTCCACATAGTCAACCATAGTTTGAGTCCCAGATCCAGTGGCTTCAAACTCACGCTGGGTGTGTGTGCATGTGTGCCCGAGATCTCAAGAGGAGAATGGAGGAGAAGGGATTGTGGCATGACCATCTCCTCTGGGAGGGGGGGTGATTTCTAGCTTTCTGTCTGTCTCTTTGGCAACTATACATGTCCTATAGTAAAAAAACCTCTCTTAAAAAAATTACAAACAATAAAATGACTTTTCAACAAATATGCAAAGGGATTTGAGTATCAAAATAGACATTTGCTCTAAAAAAATGGTTTAATTGCTTTCCTTGCTGGTAAATAAGGACTTAAACATTAACTCACTTATGATTTGATACCACAGACCGGACTTTCTTATGGCCAAGGTGCTACTGAGGGGTGCCACTCAAGCATGTCTATGTCTACATAGGACCTGCTATCAATTCACCCACATCAAAATATGCACACATGAAAAAGCACAGGCCTTTTTCATTAGCAGGGAATTGTTTCAAGAGTGGATTTAAATACCTAATTCTTTAACAGTGAAGGTACTTCAAAAAATTTGTTTCAAGAATGGATTTAAATATTTGCTCTTAATACTCAAGTCACTTCAGAAGTCTGTGGAAATGTAAAAATAAAATATAAATTTATTTGGTGCAAAGTTTCAAAACTCATGCATAGCTTTTTTATGATAGGTAATTCCACAGACTTTTAAAAGAATTATTATTTATTGATTTCTATTTGTTATTATTATTTTTAAACTTGACCAGAGAGAGAGAGGGAGAGAAAGGGAAAGCAACAAAGCAAACTGCCAGGTCCAGCTCTGGAACTGCGGTCTTGACCATGGTCATCCATGTGGGTATCCAGAGCCATGCCACTACTGGGCCCTCCATGAGCTTTTTAAAGACCCCCACAGGGACCAGCAGTTAGCGTAATGGCTATGTCGCTGGACTCCCACGTAGTCAACCACGGAGTCCGGGACCCAGTGGCTTAAACTCACGCCAGGCGCATGTGCGTGCGTGCCCAAGATCCCTAGAGGAGAATGGAGAAGGGAAGGGATTGCAGTGTGGCCATCCCCCCTGGGGGGGTGATTTCTCACTTTCTGTCTCTCTGTCTCTCTCTCTGTCTGGCGAGCGCAGGCGCCCTATAGCAAAAACCTCTCCAAAAAAAAAGACCCCCACATATAGTTGCAGATTCTGCCAACTTTGTCTCAAACTCTGGATCAGGTTCCTGTGATACTTCCCTTTAATTTTAAAAAAATTGTTACTGCCACTATCCCCCACAGTAACTTTATCATTTAAATGCTGCTTAATTTTGGCAAATTACTTTATCACTGAATTACATGTATTCTTTGGTAAATTTGATATTCCTTCATCCTAATAGTTGGAAGTGTTTCAGTAATTGAGCTGTTTTTACTACATGCATACACTGACTGGTAGATAAGCTTTCTTTGCAAACACATGTGAAATCGTAATTTTATGATTGTGAGACGTTGACTTAAGAAATTTAAAAAGTTTTAGGCCCAGATTCTTGGTACTTTTTTTTCTTTCTCTCTTTTTAAACAGCTCCAACATTTATGAAAAACCTTCAGTATTACCAGGTTCAATGGTTCAAAAAAGTAAAACTACCCAGACAGGCTAATACCATTGACATGAACGGAAATGCTGCTTTCTATTTATGTAAGTGGCTTAAATACAGCATTGAACTGATGTGAACCCCGAATCCAAACTGTATGGAACTGATTTGGCGCCCTGGGGGATCGTTAACGGAGGAAGCATGCCTTTCTGTTGCTGTTGAGACCAGTTAGGAATATCACATCCCAGGCTGTGCTTAGAGGTTTCACCCCTTTACGAAGCCTCGGCTACACTGCAGGGCTGATTCTTAGTTCACATCTTGAACAGAATGTTAGACGGGCAATAGCCGGATTGAAAACCCCGGGACTTGTTTCCCGGGTCCTCGTCGCCCGAGAGCCTTCCGGAAAAGAGCGGGGAACACACACAGGCCACGGCGGACTCCCAGCGCGACAGGCCCGGCCGGGCCGACTTCCGCCTGGGCTTGCGCCCCGCCCCACCGGCCCTAAATTCACCGCAATTTTCCCGCGATGCAGCGGGAGCGCGCGGGGCCGCTCGCCAGGCCCCAGGATGCACTGCGGGCACGTGCGCGCGCGCGGCTCCGCTGCCGAACGACCGCGGGAAAATTCCAAAAAGTCGAAACAAAAGGCCAATACGAAGTGAGGCCAACTTTTCAAGCCACAGAACCCGGGCGGTGGCTTCCTTTCTGCCACTGTCTAAACTGCTTCAGC